CATATTAGTAGAGCTGACATTTTCAATGAATTTCGCACAGCCTTGCTTTCTCAAAAGTTGTTCTCATCCAAGGTGGACTGCAGTTTCGACCTCGTATCGGTCTATTGAACACCCTCAGGGGGAATCGAACCGTGACAGTACAGCATTTGAGTTAACCACTCGGTCATATTGCCACGAGTGCCCTTGAGTCACAGGTCACACGTGAATTTCACGGAAGGCCAGGCCTTTTTCCATATCACATTCTTTGGTGGGATTGTCGATGGAGCAAACGTATTTTTGCTATAACAATCGACTATATTACTTATTTTTCGTGTATAAGTAAGTTTCGAGACTACCAGTCCTATTTCGTTTAAGGTGATGAAGGACTGGTAGTACAATCTTCTCACAATGATGAGAAGAGCTGACGTTTCTATTGAATTTCACATAGCTCAGCATGCTCTATTTCAGTGTGGATTTCTATCTGAATGGTGGCATCATTAAACTTACTGTTCCATTCTATTGCTACCACGGCGGTTTTCTTAATAAACTTTGGGTCTGAATCTAACAGAATCCCCGTAAACTTTAAAATGCATGTACAATCTTCTCAATAATATGGGAAGAGCTGACGTTTCTATTGAATTTCGCATAGCCTTGCAAAGTTGTTATCACCCGAGGTGGACTAGTTTCGACCTTTAATATGCCTTATCAACAACTTTTGTAGAGCAAAGCAATGTGAAATTCAATGGAAACGTCAGCTCTATTCATATCATTGTGCGAAAATTGTACTACCAGTTTCTCATCGCCTTAAACGAAATAGAGTGAATACATCTCATATAACTGTTTTAGTAATATTCTTTAAACTCTACTTATTTACTAAATATAAGTAATATAGCCGATTGTTATAACAATTGCTTCATCGACAAACCCACTAAAGAATGCGATATTGGAAAAGACCTGGCCTGTGACTCAAGGGCATTTGTGGCAATATGGCCCATTCGTTAACGTGGTTAGCTTACATGTTGCATTGTCATGGTTCGACTTCCCCCCAGGGGTGCTCATAAGACCTATGCGAGGTCGAAACTTTGTGAGAAAAACTTTAGGGAAAGCAAGGCTGTGCGAAATTTAATGAAAACGCCAGCTATACTAATGGTGGGAAAATTCTACTACCTGTCCCTCATCACCTTAAACGAAACAGCTCAGTCGCCATCACGCGATAACTGTACAGATGTATATTTTTTCTGCCTATCCCATTTCTCCAAACGGTACTTTATAGCCTATCATTGGCATCTTTACTTGTCCCTATCGCCAAATCACAGGCCATAGTTAACGTATTGAGAAGGAATACGAGAATAAAGGTGGACCAAGATCACGTGGAGACCGTCATACCTTCAATTGGGGAACAAGTGCTTATTGTCAACGGCGCATACCGTAGTGAGGTTGCTCGTATTGAGGCAATCGATTGGGTTTCAAGCTCGTGTGACCTGACGATTACTTCCGTAAGTTCCTGTGTGGAAAAAAGATTTTGTATTTTTTGTCTATTGATCTTTTTCGTTAGATTATCTTTCAACATAACTGCAAATTTGTTCAACCTAACTTGACCACTTCGGGTATTCGTAAATTAAAAACTTTGATTCTCTTTTTTAAATTACTCCATTTTGCCTATGAATTATCCGTTAAAGTTAAATGTTTATTACTGATGGAACAAGCAAGTGAACCGATAAATAAGCCCTTTCAGTGTGGATTTATATCTGAATGGTGGCATCATTAAACTTACTGTTCCATTCTATTGCTACCACGGCGGTTTTTTTAATAAACTTTGGGTCTGAATCTAACAGATTCCCCGTAAACTTTAAAATGCATGCACCAGAATACCAGTAGGCAGTTACGCTCTTTGCAATTTTATTTTTGAATTTGCCTTTGTGGAATTCTGATCTTGATGAAGCCTGCTTTTTCCCCTGAATAATGGAGTCTACTCTGCACTTAATTCCAAGTAGTGGGTAGGTCTTTAGGAAATTGCTCATTAAGTCTTAGGTAGTGTATCGGCCTCATTCCGACCTTATCTAGCCTCCTTTACAAAAAGCCCTGTATGTGTATAGAAAATTTTCATTCTCGCCTAACTCCTCATCTAGTATTCTTCCATCTGCGGTTATAATTCACAATCCGTCATTGATAGCTTACTGATGATAAAAGTTAGCTTAATAAATAAAGTCTGGTTAATTGAGAATACAAATGAAACTCACACATTTTTTACTCTACGTTTCTCATTTTAGTCTTGTTTTAGATTATCATATGTATAGTAAAAATGGCTCCTTCAACTTATTTTTATTCATTTATGCACCTGATTCATTAATATGCTCGAAGGCTTTTTATAACCTGAAGGCTGATCAGGCCAGGCTCATGGTCGATTAGGTCCTACTTATTAATTTTTGTACTTAATCTACTAAGAGATGAATATTTAAAATTTGTCTCCATTTCAGGGCCTCTGCAAAGGAAGGAAAATTTCGAAAGTGCTTCTGGAAGACATCTGCAAGCATATA